CAACTTCTGGGTATACACACAAAAGAAAAATTGAAAACAGAGACTTCAACAGATATTTGTATGCCAATGTTCATAGCAACATTATTCACAATAGCCAAAAGGTGGACAATCCAAACGTCCCTTGACAGATGAATGCATAAGCAAAATGTGTGTGCGCACACACACAATGGAATGTTATTCATCCTTACAAAAGAATAAAATTCTGATACATGATACACTGTGGATGAGCCTTGGAGACATTATGCTGAGAGAAACAAGCCAGTCACAAAAGGACAGTTATTGTATGAATCCACTTATATAAGGTACCTACGATAGTCAAATTCATAGAGATAGAAAGTAGAATAGTGAATATCAGGAGCTGGGGGTAGGGGAAATGGGAAATTATTGTTTAATAGGTACAGAGTTTCAGTTTGGGAAGATGAAAAAGTTCTTGAGATGGACAGTGGTGATGGCTTCACAACAATGTGAATGTACTCATTGCCACTGAACTGTACACTTAAAAATTGACCCAGCCTCCAAAAAAAGTGTTAAAATCATATATTTTGTGTTACGTATATTTTACCACAATAAAAAAAATTAATAATTTCTGCTCATCAGCAGACACCACAAGGAAAGCAAAATTATGAGCTACACTCTGGGAGAATATATTTGCAAAACATACAACTGACAAAGAAGTAATATCCAGAATATGTAAAGAACTCCTACAAATCAATAAGGAAAAGTGAAACAACCAAATAACTTTTTTGGCAAAGGACTTAAACAAAATGGCCAAAATGCATGAAAAGATTCTCCTTAGTAATAGGGAATAAAAACTAAAACAACAATGCAATTGGATCCCCATACTGGCCAGCGCCAAAAATAAAAATAAAAAAAATTTTTAAACAAAAAAATAAGAAAACACCTTTGCAACACCTTTTGCCACTTGGGCAAAAATCGAAGTCTGATGATATCAAGTGTTGGTGACAGTGTGGAGTCACCAGAACATTTATACATGACTAGTGGGGGTGGAAACTGTTTTAACCACTTTAGAAAACTTCTGACACTGGTTAAGTAAAGTCGAAGATGTGTGTGCCCTACAGCCTAGCAATACCTCTCCAGAGAATATTCCCTGGAGATTGCCCTTACATACCAAAAAACAGATAAAGAACTGTTCATAGCAGTGTAATATGTAATAGCAAAAAACTGAAACAACCCAAATGTCCACATAGAGTCAACAGACAAATAAATTGTGGCATATTCATGCAATGGCATACTTGCTGCCAATACTCAGGATCGATGTGATCTTGGGAAAGTTACTTAATCTCTCTGTGCCTCAGTTTTTTCATCTGTAAAATGGGGATAATACCAGTATCTCCCTCATAGTATTGACACAAGGATTACTATCATTTTTCAAGACTCCTAAAACAGTGCCTGAAACACGGAAAGTTCCCTGTGTAAACGTTGATGTTGATAAGGTTCTGTGACTCCTGCTCTGGAGAGACTGCCACCTGACATTTCACCAAACTTCAGTCTTTCCATTTTCATTCAAGCAATGTCCTGGCTGATCTCTCCCACCTTGCTCCTCCCCTCTTGACTCCACACCACCTAATATGCACCCCACCTAATATGCAATGCCCTTCCTACCTTCTGTGCCTGCTGAACACCCACTTCCCTTGCCCAGACCCGGCACAGACAGCCCCTTCCTCTGCCCTACCCTACCCTCTGGGCATCCACAGGGCTTCAGTCTGTATTCCCACTCTCTGTTTTCTTACTTGTTTCCAACTCCCTAGACTGAGATTCCTGGGGGAGCCCCCCTCCTTGCTCAACAAATTATAATAAAGTTCCAAAAACATCCAAACCCCTTAGCCAGGCTTTTGGCAGCCTGGCTAAGCATACAGACTCTGGAGTTGTACAAGCCTGGATTCAAATCCTAGCTCCGCTGCTTACTTGCTGTGTGACCTTGAGGAAGTCACTTAACTTCTCTGAATCCCAGTTTTCTTAATCAGTAGAACAGGGATCTTAGCACTGACTTTTAATGCTATCGTGAGGATTAAGTGAGATGACATACATTAAGTTCCTGGTATATAGTAATCACCCTAATAAAAAGAGCTATTCAGAGGCTGCCCATCTGCTGGGAGGACACGCTCCTCTGGCACACACCTCCTGACGCTTTGCAGCTGCAAGCAACGTACCTTGACCCTGGGAGTCAGGCCAGAGGAGCTGTGCGCCTCCCTGGCTGTGATGGGCAGACTGAGGGCCGAGCAGGGGGCACTGGCAGACCCTCTCTCCTCATGGCCCCTGCTGTTTCATCCATAGGGCAGCTCCAGACCTCACTGGACACCGTGGGGCTCAGACAGAAGAAAATGGCATCTCACCCCCCCCACCTATCCCCTTCTGAGAGTCTCTATTTCAAGCCAGAAGAGCACAACGCAATCAACCTCCCATATCAGACTCCCCATGTCATAGAGGAGGTAACTAAGGATAAGAGAAGAGACATCCTTTGTCTAAAGTCATCCTGTAGTAAGAGCCTGACCTTGAACCTGTCTGTCTGCCCCTGCCATGAGCCACTCTGCCTGCTGGAGAAGGTGCTAGGGCCCCAAAAGGGGCTCCAGACAAGCAGGGCACTGTGCCCACACTTGCCTATGCCCCACTCAGCCCTGTCCTCAATCACCTGCCCGTCCCTGTCACAACCCAGCCTTAATTCTTCTCTGGCAGCTGGCATCAGTTTCCATGGCAACGGGTTGTTTGGGAAGCTGTGGGATGACAGGCTGTGCTGCAGAGTCGAGGATGGGGCCTGGAGGAGAGAGCAGTCGTGGGCTGTTTCCTGTCAAGCCAGGCAGCAACCTGGCCCCACAATCATGCTCAAACAAGTCCTCCACAATGCTGCAGACCCAGGAATCCTAATTCTGGGCACCAGTCCAGATAAATCATCCGAAGTGGGGAGAAGCCAGATGTACAAGGATGTTCATCCCAGATTTACTTATGACAGGACAAAATTGCATATGTCAATAACGGGTAACATTTTAGAGTATTTTTCTTGTACCAAGCACTGTGTTAAATGCCAAACATGCGTCATCTCATTTAATCCTCACCCCACCCTATGAGGTAAGTACTTTCAATACACACATCTTGTAGATGAAGGAAGTACGCTTAGAAAGGTGAAGCCACTTGCCCAGGTCATTCAGATAGTGGCAAAGTCAAGACTGAATGCCAGTGAGTCAGCCTACAAGGCTCGTGCTCTTAACTGTGCTACGGTGGTTAGAAATGAGAAAAGGAAGTCCCAGCCCATCCTCTTATCCTGACAGCGCCTGTGGCTGTGACAAACACTACAGACAGCTGTGACGCAGGCTTCAGGAAAAGAACAACTTTGGCAAACAATGCAGACCAACTCGGAAAGATCTCCAAATACTATAGAGCTTATAAAACAAGTGCAAGTCCTGGGACAATAAGGCATAGGATGAGACTATTTATATATAAACAGGCTCAATGTGTAGATGTTCATGGATACATAGAAGTTCATAGAAAGGGAACTGGAGGACATGAGCCATCACCAGTGGTTATATCCAGATGAAGAGCAATGGGACCGGGAGATATTAAAGGGGACTTCCTCACTGTGTGTTAACAAATTATTTGTGAAATTTTTTTAAATGCCAAAAAAGCAAATTATAAAATCTGATACATGTGATCCCATTTCTAGGTGAAGAAAAGATATATATGTGTAGGAAAAAGACAGAAGGACATATACCAAAATGTCAACAGCAGTTAGCTCTGAATATTAGCATTATGGGCTATTTTTATTTCTTCTTTATTTTCTAGGATAAACACATATTACTTTTAAAATTAAAGATTAATGTGTTTGAGTGATATTTACAAAGACAATGTAACAGCATTCTAACGTAATTACGGTACAAATAGCAGCAAACACACAGGCAGCTCGTTGGTTCCTATTTCAGTTGTACTAATTGGCTCTTTTGGTCTTGACTAGTCATTTCACCTCTTGGAGCCTCAGTGTCCACATCAATAAAATGGGCATATAGCAATAGTGTCCACCTTATAAGGATGTCACAAAGACTGAAGATAAAGTGCTCAACACAGTCCCTAGCACATGTTCAGCAAACTGGATGCTGTTACTACTGTGCTGATAATGCAGAAGATGCACAAGCAGGCAGTGCAGCAAGCTCCTGAGACAGTCTGCCTGGGATTGTACCAGCTATGTGATCTTAGGTCTGTTACCTGACCTTTCTGGGCTTCATGTGAAGATTAAACAAAAAAACACGTACCACATAATACACATTCAATAAATGTAATAAAAATTCTATTATGTGAGAAATATATACCAAAAACAAGTTTTGTCTTCTGCCTTTGGTGTATAAACACGTTAGCTATGATTATTAATAAAATGATTATTGTTATAAGTAAAGGAACAATGGAATGGGAACTAATAGAGGGAACATGGCTGGGCACTGACTCCCTAGCTGTGTGAGCCCAGAGAATTGTGTTAACCTCCTTGAGCCTCAGTTTCTACATCTGGTAATATGGGGCTAATGCTTGTCTTATAGGGCTAATGTTACCACTAAAGGAAAAGCAAAATTAACATAAATTAAGCAATTTATCTTGTGCCTTATACTGTGCTAGGCACATTATTTTATACCATAATCTCATTTAATCCTCAAAACAGCCCTATTAAACTGAAATTAGTACTCCCTTTTTACAGATAAGGAAATTTATGCGGGTTAAAAAATATCCCAAGGTCACTCAGTGAGGATGCGGGCAGAAGCAAAATTTGAACCCAGGACTCACTGACTCCAGAAGGCAAAGACTCCTCACAAGAATTCAGTAAATGCAGTTTATTTTCTCTTTCCTGACTTAGTTGGCCTCAGTTTACTCAGTTTATGTAAAATGGATGTGAGAGAAAATGTTCTTTAAGAGCCTGGTCTAGCTCAGCACTATTAAATTCCACCACCAAGTGTGGTGTTGAGAGAGATGGCCTGGCCTATCCCAAGCTCTCAGACCCAACTTACCAGTCTGGAACAGCCTCCAGCGCTGGATTCCTCTGGCTCATCCTGGGTGGAGTTGTCTGAGCTTCTGTCTGTGCCCTGCTCTTGGACACAGGGCACTGGACCCCCGCTCGGCTTCCTAGCATACTGGGATCCTCTCTGTCCCCTGAATGGGCCTGAGCAGGCCTTGCTGGCTGCAGGCTCCAAGCAGGAGCTGAGGCTGCCCGAGGGCTCTAGGGAGCTGGCACAGGCATCAGCAGGGACAGCGAGTCCTTGCCCCAGCCTTCCCCTGGACGCTGGATGAGTCCTGACCTCCAACTCCTCCTGGTCGTGGGAAGCAGCAGAGCCTTCGTTGCTGCCAGTCCCCATGATGTGCTCAGCTGCAGAAGCCCATGCAGACATCCCCAGGCACAGTGCAGGGCTCTGTGGAGGACCCTGTGCGACTGGCCTGGGGGACTCTCCTCCACTGGGCACTGAGAGCCTACAAGGGCTGCCTGGCTGTGCCCTATTTCCTGCAGTGAGCAAATACTCAAACTTTTCAGTCCCTGAGGCACATCCCTCCCAGCTTCCACCTGGATCTACAGAATCAGACCCAGTGTCCTGGGGAGAGAGAGGTCTGTGGGGGCCTCCCACAGACTCCAGGTCAGCACCTTGGGAAGGGCTTCCCACAGAATGGGGGTTGTCGTCACCAGGGCTCTGATCAAGCCCCAAGAAGCCACCAGCGCTCTCCCCACCCTCTGAACAGACCCCACACTTCCTCCGTTTCTTTCTCGCTCTCACACGGGCTGGGGCTGGTGAGGATGGCAGGCCCCTTTCAGGGGGCTTCTTTCTGTGGAGTATGGGGCTTTGTCCATCACACCCTGGAGAATACATCCCACCATCTCCTGCTTCCTTGGGCCTGGGGCAGCTCACCTCCTCTACCCCTGCCAACCCCTCCCTGCCAAACAGAGCTCTCTTTGTGAGACCTGCAGACAAGCCACAAAGATTCTGGGGGCAACTTTCAGCTAAGATGTCGTACAGAGAAACCTGGAGCCTCTTGAAGGCTTGAGCCCTCCCCTGAGCAGGCACCATGGGCAGTTGCATGTGCAGCCTGGGGCCAGGTGGGGAATCCTGGCTCTGTCCCACAGCCCCAGCAGTGTCTCCAGCCTGGGAGCTGGCACCTAGATGGGCCTTCTTCCTGAGCACCCTCTTCCTGCTGCCAGCCCCAACTCGGGCCCCAGACCTTGCCCCTGGCAGGCCTGGCATGGAGCTGGCTCGTTCCATGTCCTCCTGGAAAACTGCACAGCTGTGTTGGGGACTGCGAACACAGTCCTCTGCACTGGAGCCTTCTGCATCCCCATCTTGGGACATGTCTGTCCACCTACCCCAGAGACAGAGAAAGGAAACCTCATCACAGAGGGTCTGGCCTGCCAACCCATTCAAGGCCCCAGGCCAGTGAGAACCTGGGAGGCAGCTTCCCCTGCAGGCAATGCCCCCCGCCCTGCCCACTTCCGAGGCCTGAAGGTGAACAGGACCTGGTGACCCCGGGGTGAGAGACTAGAGGCTGCTTCCAAACAGGGCTGAGCTGCAGCGGCCTTTAAGGTCCTCCCATCTCTGAAACTTTACACTTTTGCTTAAATGGGATATAACAAAAGAGACATCACTTATTAATGACTTATTTATGTGCATTATTTCATTTCATGCTGGCAGCCACGGGTGAGGAAACTGAGACTCAGAGATGTTAAATGACCCGCCCAAAGGCACACACAGATAGCAAGTGGAAGGGCCAGAATTCCGTCTTCAGCTGAAAGCCCAGCTCTAAACCACTCTGCACAGAGCAGACCATGAATGGAGCTCATGCCCATCACCCCTCCCGTCCCCCACCCAGGCCCAACCAGTCCAGCGGTTCTCACCTGGGGTCCCGCAGTTTCCCCTCCCAGGACCCACCCTTTAGCTAAGAAAGAGGCTGGGATCACGTGAAGCGGGGCGAGGCCGCCCGTGATGAGGGATGGGGGTGGAGTCCCCGATGATGGACAAAGGGCCACTCCTCAGGCACGCCGGCTTGCAGGCCCGGCAGAGGGCGCTCTCTCCTTCCCGAGGGCTTCCTGGAGGAGGTGCCAATCTTTCGGGCTCCCAAGCAGTTGTAGGTAGGTGGGTGCGTGGGGTGAGGGGTCCGAAGGGCCTTGATGCCTGCCTGAGAGTTTAAACGATCCCACCGCGATGGGGAGTTACTGAAAGTGCCTGAGCCTCAAGGGGAATGTCACAATCAGATCTACATTTCTTTTGCCTAATTATTTATTTTAATATTATTATCTCAAATAAATTCATGTTGATGGAAATGCACATTCAAGCCCAAAAGAAAGTTTAGAACTAAAAAGTTAAAAACTTCCTCTCACTCCCCAACCCCTCAACTCTTGGAAACAACTTTTTTTTTTACCCTGTTTGTTGTTGTTTTTATTTTTTTAGATTTCATAACTGTGAATAATAAACTCATACCTTTATTATTTGATTTATTAATTTTAACAGTATCTGTCGATACCCTGCTGCAGTGAGCTTATTAATTACCCTTTTCCCCTTTCTCCACCCAGCTTTTCTTTTTTATATTTATATTTTTAGTTTTTCTATTGGTTACTCTTATCACTTTGAATAATAGTCTTGAACATCTGTTTCTTCTTTAGATTGTATTTCTTGACTCTTAACTGTAAAATGAGTAACTTCCTTTGATATCCCCTCTCCCCTCCTGCCTTCCTCCATCAACTAAACTTTTACTTTTGAGTCATTAAGGCTTATAGCATTTATGTTCTATCCTGTAAAGAAAATTCAGCTTGCCATAGTTTGCCTGTAGATGATTCTTAACGTTGAAAACCAAATGACATTTACAACATTATGATTATGTAGATGCTTTCACTGCAGAACCAAGGATTTGACATGCCTAATTGAGAGGAAGAGGGAAGCTTCCCCATCAATGGAATCCTTCAGTGCAATTAGATTGAATAAATTAGATCTATATATCGACACAAATGTATCTCAATGACATAATTTAAAAGCTAGATAATGTTAATAAAAAGAGAAACTGAGTGTGGGGTGTATGGGAACTCCCTGTACTAATCTTCAATTTTTTTCTATAAACCTAAAACTTCTAAAAAATAAGTTTTATTATGAAAAAAAAAAAAAAAAAAAAAGCTGTTGAGTGATCCGTATTGAAAATTGTCATGATCTGTCTGTCAGGGTCACAAATGAGGTAAGAGTTGAGATTGGATGTCACCAATGACCGCAATTACTTCCATAAGGAAATAATTTTTTGAGAAGGTGTCCCACTATGGGATGTCATGGTCATGATGGCAGACACTTGACTAAATGAACTGAGCCATTCTGGTCCATTTGGATGTTTCCCACAGCTGGGCAGAGAAAGGGGGAGTGAAGGTGTTAGTAGCATCACATGGTATGGAGATAAAGGACAGTGCTGGCTAACAGTTATGTAGTGCTACTTTGAGCCACCAGGGACTGGTCTAAATGCTTTATCTATATTAAAATTCTGTATTTATCTATATTGATCCTTGCACCAAGCCTATGAGGTAATACTGTTATCGCACAGAGACATTAAATAACTTGTCCAACGTTAGTAAGTGTTGGTTTTGGAACCCAGCCAGTCTCTCTGGCCAGTTTCTCTATCTCCTGATATTCTAAAATGTCTCCTTGTCATAAAAAAAAATAATCAAAGTAAGGTTTTGCCCAGGTTTTGGGCCAATGCCATTTACTGGATTGTTTTCCATTTGCTTCACTAATTCATGACAGCACCTCTGACGTACACCTAGTTCCCATTAACACATGGATTTATTTCTCAGCTCTCTGCTCTGTTGCATTGATCAGCTTGTCTATTCCCAACCAATATGCTATCGTTTTAATGCTATGGTTTTGTGATACCTCTTGATACCCAGAGGGCAAGCTCCCCCCTGCCTAGCTTGGTTCCTATTTTTCATAATTGTCTCAGCTACCAGTATTTTTGTTCTTCCATATGAGCTGTAGGATTATTTTGTCAAGTTTCCTGAAGAATTCTGTTTGGATTTATATTAGAATTTCACTGAATTTACAGATTAGAGGTATAATTGAATATTTATGATTCTGAGTCTTCTCATTAGTAAACGTGATATATTTCCATTCTTTCAGGTCTTTAATTCATTTTTGTGATTTTTCTTCATCAAAATATTGTACATTTTTATTAAATTGTTCTGTACTTTAAACTTTTTGTTGCTTTCTTCTTTTACCTTTCCACTTAGTTGTTGCCAATGTATAGGGAGGCAATCGTATTTTGTTGACCTTGTATCAAGAAATTTTACTGAACTGTTTTATTAATTCTACTAATTTGTCTGTTGATTCTTCTGTGTGTGTATGTAACTGCATGATCATATGGTGTGGAAATAATGACAGTTCCATCTTGTGTTGTATCAGACCTATATACCCCTTTTCATTTACATCTTTTTCATAGATTGTACCTTTGGTAGATTGCATCATTGCTTATATGTCATATTTACTTTTCTTGCCTTATTGCATTGTTTAAAACTTCTAGGGCATTATTGAATAGATGCATGGGGATCTTTCTTTTGTTCTTAAGTTAAAAGGAAAATTTCTAAAGTTTCACAGTTAAATATGGTTTTTGCTATGGATTTTTGGCAAACAATATATTTTCAGTTAAGGAAGTTTCTTTCTGTTATTTAATTACTGAATACTTTTTTCATTAATGGGACTTGAATTTTACTGCATGTTGTCCCCATATCTTTTGACAGTTTTTCTGCTTAAATAGGTTAATATGATAACATACATTGGTAGAATTTTCTAATGTTGAATCATCTTTCATTCCTAATACAGCCCCTACTTAAATATGATGCATTATTTTTTAAAACACTACTACATTTGATTTGATACATTTTAGTCAGGTAGAATTTTCTAATGTTGAATCATCTTTCATTCCTAATACAGCCCCTTCTTAAATATGATGCATTATTTTTTAAAACACTACTACATTTGATTTGATACATTTTAGTCAGGTTTTGGCATCTATGAATATAAGAAAGATAAGCTAATAATTTTATTTTCTTATTCTGCCTTTTCTGGTTTTAATATTAAGATTGTGCTATCTTTACAATATGAATTAGGTAGATTTCTCTCTTTTCCTATTCCGTGGAACAGTGTTTTGTTATCTCTTTTTTATTTTGTAATTATTTTTCTATTTTATTATCTTCTGCTTTGACCTTTCTTATTTGCTTTCTTCTACTTCCTTTGGGTTTGCTCTTGTTCTTTTAATTCTTTCTTGACCTGAACCCTTAGCTCATTTTTAAAACTCTTTCTCATTTATAATTAATTCATTTAATGCTATGCTTTTTTCTCCTAAGTACTTCTTTAGCTGCATCCTACAAGTCCTGAATAGATGATGCATGTGATGCTTTTATTATCATTCTGCTGTAAATATTTTATAATTTTTATCATAATTTACTCCCTAATTCATGAATAATTTAGAAGTTTTTGTATGGTTAGCTTTCAGATAAATGGAAAATTTTTAAATTACCTGTTACTATTAAAATTAAATGTAGTTTTATTGCACTGTGATCAGATAAAATGGTCTGTATAATGTTGATTCTTTTGACATTATAATCGGCCAGCCCTCAATTTTCTCACTTTTTAATGGAACTGTGGGAGCCAAAAAATTTTTTTCATTTTCCTCTTTATCATAAGAACAACAGCACAAACTTGATGGTAAATAGCTACTAATACTCAGTTTCATTGTTTGGGAGCAATAGGGCATGGAACGGACTCTGGCAAAGGGAAAGTTTATGCCCCACCTGAAGGGGGTGGTCACTACTCAGCTCCATGAGGACAGGTAAGACCAGTGTGGCCAAATCTTTCTATTTTTCAAGAGAAGGCAGAAATCTGGAGTTTTATGCAAAATCTCCCCAGTTTTATAAATTGGGGAGATTAACTAAGTCTCTTTTCAAGACAGCAGTAAGAGTCATCCTTTTAAAATGTAAGTTTGATGATGTCGCAATGCTATGAAGCTGATTGTATAAAACCAAAGGCTGAGGGCTGGCCAGTTACCTCAGCTGGTTAGAGCACGGTGTTATAACACCAAGGTTAAGCGTTCAGATCTCTGTACCAGCTAGCCACCAAAACTAAATAAATAAATACTGTTGATTTTTTTTTTTTTTGAGAAGTATTTAAGATTTCTTTTGTGATCTGCTATATTGTCCTTCCTTATTAATACTCCTTGTTTACTTGAAAAATAATGTTTAAGTTCTCAGTTTATAGTGCAAGCTTTTCTTGCCTCTATATCACCTCAAGCTTTTTAATCATGTTTTCTAATCTAATCTATAGTAACT